CGATATAATCTCGATTCTCCCGCCCGAAAATCGTGTGTGCGCGTTGAAATTCGACGAAATGAGAATCAAAACATTCGAAGAATATTCTGAGAAGTTTGATTGTATCGAGGGCCTTGTCGACCTCGGTTCTCTTGGCCGCAAAGACGAACGTGCTCGATACGTCTTTTTATTTTGCGTCGATAGCATCAATGCAAAATATCCTTGGCGTCAACCGTTATCATATTTTCTTACGGGAACCGGAATGAAGGCTTTTCATATTTACGAATTGCTAAAAGAATGTTTATGCAGATTGTCCGCTGCAGGAGCTGAAGTAGTGCTTGTAACTTGTGACCAGGGTCCATCGAATCAAAGTCTTTTTGGCTCGTACCTCAAAGTATCAGCGGAAAAGCCTTTTTTTACGATTGGAGAAAAACAATTCTTCGCTTGTTTTGATTTCCCGCACCTTATTAAACGACTGTTGAGCACTCTCCGTACGCATAAAGTGTTATATTGCAAGGGAGATTTAATGGTCAATTATCAGGACTTTGTCGATGCGTGGGAGTATGATACCTCGGGGGTGGTGGCAGAGGGAACGTAGAATGTCCCGAAGCTGCTGCTTTGATTCATCCAAGCACAGTGGTAGCCAGAGCGTTTGACCGATCAGAGGGAATGTTCGAAAACCCCCTCGAACATGACAGAGACGACGAAATGATCGAGGTCCAAGAGGCTGCAGAGATGTTGCAGTATGAAAGTGAAGAGGTCGAAACAGTGATGGAATCCAAGGAACTTCATGAAAGCACGCGATCTGTTTACGAGCAGAATGCTGTCAACTTTTCTCAGCGCCAAATGCGCAAGTATCCGTGCGACAATTGTCGCAACGACATATTGAAAACACCAATGGACGAACGTTCTTCCACTGAGATGTGCACCGAATTTCGGGAGTAGGAACATGAAGATGAAGAAGCTCCAACGGTGACATGGCTTAGTCGACCAACTCAAAAGTTTGAAAGTATAGTGGGCGTTCAACTTGAAGCTTTCGGTCGATTGTGGAAGAAACACTGGGTGTGCAACGGCATCTTGAATAATCTTGCAGGAGCGATTATACAGGAAACTAGCCAGCTGCATTCTGACTGGTTTGACGAACATCGCGGTGCGATGAGGTTTTTGTATTGCAATATACTATTTAAACTGACACATCTCCTCTCTAGAAGATGATGTCGTAAAGGAAAGGGAGGAACGATATACTATTAAAAGGAAACAAGACTTACCATTTCGGTCACACGTCGAAACTATTCTGTGGCGATGCAGCTCGGCGAGCGGCGATCGGGGATCGCGTGCGAGTATGGAAGGGATAGGCGCGGCGGCATACTGCGACTTTAAGCTGCGACTCGTGTGTTTCTATCTAATTATTAGTAATAAAATAATGGAACGTACCCTGACTTCTGTCAGAGGCTCTTTTAGCTGCGTTCCAATGTAGATTTGTTCACGAAGTCGTTCCCCGGGGTCTCTCGGAGGCTTTTCAAGCTGCGCTTCGTTCATTTATTATGTTTACTAGATATGGGGGGTGATGTTGATTGCCTTCTCGTGGTACCCCCCGAAAACGAGTGCACTTATCATATTCATCAAACATATAGACGGGCATTGTAAACTTTACCGCATTATCAATTGCAAAATTAGTGTAACCATCATAATGTCTACTGTTCAATGAAGATCGGTGAACTCGGCTAAACAATCAACACAAATTATTACTACTTTGGTGTATATTTGTAGAAATACAATAAAGCTAATACTACAGTTTTGTATGAACGAATAGGAATTTTATATATGAAAGCTGACTCGATCTTGCATCACTTGCACCCCCATTCGACCGATGCAACGCCGGATCATCAAGGAGTAATGCCACTTTAGCAGCTCAAAAAAACATATAAAATTAGGAATAATTATTATTAGAAAATATCGTGTGCAATATAAAGTCTGTTAAGATGAATTTATTATGCATGATTTTAAGAGTATACACAAATTTTTTATTTCTTGTCGAGTACTGCAACATATCAAAAAATTAATGAAATCGGTGGGGTCGGATTGGGGGGGTTTCCTTGTCAGTGGGACTCATGCTTGCCGTCTTACTCCCACTCATGCGTTCGAACAGGACGCACCGTACGACGCTTTCGCGTCTCGCTCGCACCATAGGGCTAGCTGCGTTTCACGCACCTATCCTGGTACATACGTCCGTCAAACAGTCACTGTCCACTCTTTTCTCTTATCTCACCGCACTACATCAACAAGCTGGACAACATTAATGACGTTCAGTGTACAATAAATTCATCTAAATAGACTTTATATTACATATGCTATTTTTCAATAATAATTGACCACAATTATTTTTTTATTTTTATTTTTTTTAACCATTATAATGGCATTACTTTTTAAAAAAATTAAACAAAAAAGAAATGAAGAAAAAAAAAGTTTTCCTCTCTAGACGCGAACGCGGCACCTTACGGTTACGATCGTTGCCAACTCGCCCAATGCATATTCTTCATATATGTATGATAATCCATAGCTGGTGGAAATGCGCAGCCTCACTTGTTGCGATACGGACTCTCATGAAGATGTAAGAGAAAAATTGACAGCA